AAAGCCAGTATGATATGAATCATTATTTTTCTTGTAACTGCCAGGGACAAACGAAGAGTTAGGCTTGAGACGAGTGTTCGTGCGAGACCGGCTGTCTGGCATTCTCTACAGTCTAGAGGCCTGCTGCGCGGCGTCACTTGTGTGTGTCCGAGCCTCCGGTCTGCACTCTGCCAGCATAATGTGTAATCTAATCATCCAAGCACGAAGCCGACACGTCACTTACCTTCAAAGCGGGCGATAACATCCTGGCCAGTTCTCTACTCAGGTACAATGACAATTCCTGTCATGGTGTTCACGTAATCTGTTGGCAGATCCCACGGAAATTTGGCCACGGCAAATACGTCAATTTTGAAGTCTGGCAGCTGCAGTGGCAGTGCATCTGTGGAAATAATTTCGCTGTAAACCTAGTTTACTTGATATATTTATATTATATATTTACTAATCATATTTATAGTTATTATAATGCCATATTCAGCATCATTGAAGGTCTGAAAAAGCGTGTAGTCATGCACAACACTTCCGCAGAGTCTACCTGACGACCAAGTTTACATTTTTAGGAAAGTTTAAAAACCATTTGTGTCTCCAAGTAAACAGCGGCTTGCCAATGTAGGTAGTTTGTAAATACACGGTCGGACATGCCTTTGACTTGGTAGCCAATCTTGTATGTAACCAGGTCGTTTATCCCAGGTTGGCCCCTACTCCCATTTCGCCTACGGGCGCAATTCCCATTTCGTCTATAGCCAAAACTCATTCGCTGTCTACTCCCATTATCGCCACTCATCCCATTCGTCTACACTAAAAATCCCACCCCATTCCCATTTTGTCCTACCATCAGTTTGTTCACTAAATAATCATTTATGTAATATATGGTTTGATTGGCATACATAGACAAGACGCGAGTGCATCCACTCTAATTCTCCCTGGTATTTGTTGTAATATCAAATACTACGACGAAATGGCACTATTACCATTTCTGAAGAGTAGACGAAATTGGAGTAGGCCCAACTGGGATGTTACTGACCCTGACTTGCGGAATAGTGCGGTTGTAATGGTAATCCTCAATGCTTTCTCGCCTCATTCACAGGTTTGGTGACGCTGACGGCTTGCCTGCAGTGACCCTGGCAAGCCAACTGCTTCACCTGAGCCGGCACCTATCAATGTACGAGAGCATTCCTGCAGCTTCTGCATCAGTGCATGAGCGTGACATCATGCTGCAGCAGCAGGTGGGGACCGACAGGCTGTGTTGTATCGTCGTCAGACTTCTCAATGCTGACGTTTAGCTACGTACGTTATAAAACTTACTCATCTTTTTTGAGCCGTCATGTCAGAATATTCCTGTCACGCTCATAGCATGAGAAATAACATTTATTTATTGAATTTCTCTCCTGAACTAACAATAAGGTAAATCGTTAGAATATATTATGAGCGTTAGATATGTAGAAATATATTACACATATACATTACTATGTATTAAATACATAGTATAGCTTAATACATTACATTATTACCTCTGCCAAGGGGTTGGCAGGAGTTATGTTTCACCGGCGTGTTGTTGTTGGTTTTGTGGTTTGTGTACAGCCTAACTGAAAAATTATGACGGATTGTCATAAAATTTTCAGGATAGGTCAGAAATGGGCTAACTTAGAATTGATGAGATTTTGTTGGTGATCCGGATCAATTAATTAATTAATTAAAATTTTCAGGATAGGTCAGAAAGGGGGTAACTTAGAATTGATTACATTTTGGTGGTGATCCCGATCCAATTAATTAATTAATTAATTAATAAAATTTTCAGGATAGGTCAGAAATGGGGTAACTTAGAATCTGATTACATTTTGGGTGGTGGATCCGGATCCAATTAATTTATGTTAATTAATTAATTAATTAAATAAAAATGTTCCACAAGTGACTAGAATTGAGGCTGGCTTGGCGGAAGGTCTGCAAACTCGGGTCACTATACGTGACCCTCGAACTACTAATTTGATGGCCAGAAACTACAGATTGCTTCAAATACGTATTGGCATCTCTGCTGAGTTTTAACCATAGGCTCAATGCCATGGTGTCAGATTTCCTCTGTGTAAATCAAATGACTTGCGTCAGCTACGTGTAACACGAACAGGGTAAGACACATGATTAAGTAGAGCCTCATTGAATCGCAGGTCGAATTTCAGGAGAAGAAACGTTTTATTTGTGTAGTTCCATTATATGTTAGGGGGCTGTAACCGAAAAAAAATTCTTATTAACAATGTGTTTTACTCTGTGATGTGTACGTTTGTTAATACGTATGTTAACGTATTTTTAAACATACGTTACACATTTATCTTCTGCTGGTGTATTTTATAACCAGCTGGGGTAATGGAGGGACTCATTGAACACCTCAAAGATGTGCAGACACATCTTACCGTAGAGGGACTTGAGACAAGAGGAACCGCTGACAGGAAGGTATAGTGATTGTGCACAATTAAGCATGTTCAAGAATTGCAGTCAAATGAATACCTAATTGCCAAGCTTAGGATGTGTTCATACTTGTTTGGATGATGTGTTGAACTTTAACGGTATGTTAAATCTTATAATATTCTTTAATCAAATGCACTGACTGAAATCTTGTCAGGAACATTACATGGAGGATTTGCGCGAAACCTTCAATCTGCTCACCTCGCTGATGTACCAGAGTCAGGAAGCTAAGGTTTGCGAGTATATGTTTCTTGGAACAAGACATTTCTTCTCTAACTGTCTAAATTGTCTATCACCTTTTTACTTTTGTCTTTTACTGGGCCATAGAGCCTTGGCAACTGTGTTGCTTCTGTTTCTTACAACCTGTTTTGCCCAGCAAATCGATTCACTTACCCTGTAAGGGGCTTAGCCAGGTGAGATGGTCTCTCTTTACTTTAATAAAATGAATTCATAAATATTTTATGTGAAATTCAGTTTTAAAATCCCTAATTTATAGCGTCAAGTCACATTTGCAATGTCGCGTGTGTTAGCTGTTAAAATGAAATTTCATGCTGCTTTTTTCATTGACCATATCGTATCATTTGCAGGAGGCAGCTGTGCATAGCCACCTGAGTACTGTGATTCATAATCTGTGGGTGTGGTGTCTTGTTGACAAGTCTGTACTCGCTGCTGCTCTCTTCATGCTGTGCTCATTCACATCTAAACATCCTTCTGGTGAATAAGCATGTATTACATCCTTTTTTCTCTGCACGTAAATATTCACTAATCGACTAAAGTGAAACTAAAAAACTTGTGAACGAATTCACTGATTCAGATATGTTACATGCATGTTTTGCAATTGCACTTTGTGCAATTGTGTGACCAACTCGTCGACCAACTCGTCGACTTTGTGCAATTGTTGTGCAACTCGTCGCACTTTGCTGTAGTTTGTCATTTTATAGCTAAAATATGATTGCTTATAAAATTTCTGATTGCTCTAACTGCTCCATCGGTACTTGCAGGCAGTACATCAATGGTGTACTCACTGACTAGCAATACCGGCCTTCAACAAAAGTCTCACACGAACAACTGTCTCGGACAAAGAATCGTCAAGCTAGCAATATCAGAACAGAGCAAGCATGTCAGTAACATGCAGTCACTTAGGCTCAGTTTCCAGTTGCTGGGCAATATGGCTATCTCAGCTGAGTGCAGATGTATCATGCTGAAGGTAGGTTTTCGATATAAAGAACATTTACAGTGGATGTTAGATAGATAAAAAGGGTTATTAATACAACCAATTCGTATAATAATCATGTTTTAGGCTGTCTATAAGACTATTAGAATTATTTCTAGGCGATTTTTTATACACTTACTCATTCATTCAAATCACACTCACAAAATCAAAGACCAATTGAAGTTAAATATTCAACCATTTATCATTAGTGGTTCTTCCACTCGTAAATAAAATGGTCAGAAAAGTCATTATAATGAAAATTCACGAAGCTATTATTATAATCATCGTGAATATAAGTATAGCGGCTTAGACTACCAATATATCGTATTATCAAGTCCTACCAAAAAGCCTTGTTAGCTGAACCGATATTAGTGACTTTATAAGCTACACAGTCATATTTCAATATCATAGAGCAATTTCTGGCAAGGGTTTCTGAATGCTGCCAGTATGAAGAAGGGGAGAAAGCAGGCACTGGAGTCATTATGGTTGGAACTACTGGTCTGTGTCAGTTTTCACGCAGATATACAGCAGGCAATACTTAAGCAAAAAGGTGTGTGTGTGTGTGCGTGCATGCGTGCGTGCGTGATTTTACATATAGCGAAAAATATTTGGCATACCGGTCAACTTCAAGAAATTGAATCGAGTCTGGTCATATATAGATTGTGACATTCCAAACAATAATTTCATTAAATCTATTTTCCTGATACGGTTTTGTCACAACTCGATTAGTGATATGCGTTGTAAGTCAACATAGATAATCATGAACTGTAATATGTATAATCACGAACTGAAATATATTTAGGTGAAGATAGCCATATATGTCCATCTTTGATATGGATAAATATGAAATAATTTAAAAAGGTAGTGTGCATTCTGCTGGCTTATTCATGTGGTGTGTTCAATTGGCAGATTTTCTCGACCTGCTGTTAGGACATGCGACAAGTGGTGTGAGGAGACAGCAAAGAAATGCCTTGCTGGTGATAAGAAATCTGTGCTTCCACACGGCAAATAAGCAGAAAATACTTGCACATGGTATTCACATAGTGACTAGGCTTGGTCATCAATTATTATCTATCAGTCAATCTAAATTCTTTAATTGCATATTTACAAACAATTTCCCATTACAAGCATATTTCCACAGCAATGTTAGTTTTGGGGGAAAACTGAACTGGTGATGAAACTTGTTTCTTTCTCAGATAAGCTACTGCATTACTTAACGGAGGACCTGTCTTTCTTTACAACTGACCATGAGAGACACCTGGTGGTGACTGCATTGTGGACACTATCTAGCAATAACCAGAAGGTAAAAAATGCACTTGGGTCCATTGTCAGTAACAAAATTAGGCTTAAAATTAGTCTTAACATATCATATAACATATAACATAAATTTTTTCACATATCGTGGACAGACACATTGTAAAGTTTCTCAGACACAAAGTATAGAGGTCCGGTCTACAAGAAATAGTTAATGTCTTCTAAAGTAAAGACTAATTTTATTTCTGACAATTGGCCTCTGGTCTTTACTAAAAAAAAATTTGTTGTTTCAAATTGTTTTGAATATTTGTACTCTGTATGCCCTTCTCTGTTAAAATAAATCCCTGCGGATTTTCCCACCCTTTGTTCATGGTCAAAGTTTTCGTGTGAACATTACTGATTATTTGTTACAGGGTAAATTTATACTCAAAGGGACAGTTCTTCAACGGCTACAAAAGTTCATGGAGGATCTGCAGCCCGAACAAAGAGACACTGAACTTGCTAGAGACCTACAGATACTCATAGGCCTACTGTTGAAGTAAACTTACTGGCTTCTCTGTCACCCTAGCTTACCCAAGCTACTTAGGGAAACTCAGTTTTGGTAGACAGCTGATGAAATATTTCACTTCAACCTAACACTTGAAGGAAAATTTATTCCAGCTAATTAGCTAAAGGAAGCTTGTTCCAACTAGTCAGTTGTAGGAATCTGACCGATATCAATAAGTAAAGGAAACTAAGAGTGAGGGAAGAAGTGAGGAGCTTGTGTGTGCCAGTGTTGTAGGAATCATACTCAAACTACAGTTAGCTGATGCAGGCATTCATTATTTCCTTGAGCCTGAAGTACATTTTGCTTGGATATTGTATGTATATAATATTGCTTTATTCAATGTGTAAACTACTTGCCCCGCTATTTCAGAAAAACTGGCATTCTTAACAAAATGTTCAAATTGTTATTATATAGGAAATAAAAAAAAGTTATGAGAAACTTAAAAATGTCTAAATAATCTAAACCATGGCTTGAAATATAGATAAAATCAAATATTATGCCAATACCACAATTAAATTGTAAGGAATTTACACGGGTGCAGATATTTGTTATTTTCAATAATGCATGTGATATTGGTTTAAATCCTTCCCATTTGGTTCCAGTTTCCGTGTTCGATGGACCTCATTCCTGTTTCTTTATTCAGCTGATTCCCTTTTCTTGGGGATTCCAATTCAAGAACTGGCACACGATATTGCTCAGTGGGTATCTATCTCTAGTTTCTTTCTGCTTTCTGATTTCTGGTAACATTCTGATTTGTCCTTTTCCTTTGTCCTTTGAATTCCTAGACGCGCGCACACATGTACTCACGCTCGCTCGCTCGCTTGCGTGTACACAAACGCGCTCACGCACGCACGCGAGCATACACGCACACACACACGCGCGCGCGCGCGCGTACACACACACAAACGCACACACACGTCTCTGCACATACACACATACACACGGACAAACTCGCACACACGCGCGCACACACAAGCAGGTTGTTTACAATTAATGCTCATTGACCACAAGCATTTTGTTAATTGCACTTGTAATACTGCACGATGAAACTTATTTAATCCAATGTAATGAGCATATAATAATAGTCCTTCGAAATAATATAGATAACTCAGATATCTTATAATTATAATAATTTTACACTGATATTGTCAAAAAGAGCGAGAAAAATCCATATATCGGTTGGGTAATCGTGCAAGTTTTTAGGTGTTAGAGGTCATCGGTCCCAAAATGGCGTCATTTTACATTGCAACGATTTCAGCAAAAACAGTATAATAGTTCGTGCTCTTTCCGACAGAAACGTATATATATATTGCGAATAGTCTAGCTTTGTGGTCAGCAACGTGCGGCCAGGCGGTCCTGACCCTGCCTGCCATTATAATTCTGTCCGGCCCGCTATCACACTGGGCCGGATTCAAGAACAGTTCGTACGCACAATATCGTGCGTACGCACGTTCGTACGCACACATGAGCATTTAGGGGGTATTCACAAAGAATACAATTTCGTCTGAATCATTCCATTTCGTGCGTACACGGTACACACTGCCCTGGTCCCTGCTGTAACGATAATAAGCCGGCGGCAACTGTATACAATAACATGATTACCGTTCCTACGCCCTACGCCCTATGGTTGGTCCTACGCCCGCAGGCACGTGTGCACACGCAGGCAGGCACGCACGCGCACACACACGCAGGCACGATACTTATAAAGCGTTAAACAAATGCATGGCTATAGTACACGTTTAAAAAAAAACGCTATTTAGAGTTGGTAATCATTTCATGCTAGATACTAAAAAAATACTACTATAATGAAATTTTCATATACAGCATTTTTGATCGACCAACGTAATTACAGGGCCGTAGCCTGCGGGGGGGGGGGGGGCAAGGAGGGCAGCTGCCCCCTAGATTTTGGAGCAAAATTAATTGTTCTACTAAAAGAGAATTGTCGTAGTCAGAATGAAGGCTGTACATGCACTCAAAAGTGCCTCAAATACCATCTCCTGCTATCTACATTTTCAAAATTTTCTGTGGGACCCCCAGACCCCCCACGTGGTTCTCACCCCCTCCTTGAAATCCTGGATCCGGCACTGCCCCCACCCCCTAGGATTTTTCTCAGCCTTAGTAACGGCCCTGAATTACTACAAAAAATGTTAAATGATAATTTAGTAAACGAACCTAAACATATACCGTCCTGCGAACAGTAAATCAACATTAGTTTTCAACGTTTTTATAGAACCATTTCAGAACCTAATTTTAAATGTTACGTAGTGGTTTACAAAAGGTTTTTGGCAAACGTTTGTTAAGAACCGACATGTAACGTTACTACTGTATCAACATTTAGTGAACGTTGATAAAACGATTTTGGCCAACCCGTATGACCAACGACGAGTAGAATTATAGACCGGTTACATAACATGCGTCTAAACAGAGGAATTGCTCCGACCTGTGATTGGAGGATAAAAATAGACCCCGCCCACTCCCGCCGCATACGCTATGCTATGACCGGTAGGAACGTGTACTAACTATTATATGGACGATGTATGCAGGCCCGTAGCCAGGGGGGGTTCGGGGGGTGTTGTGGGGGCGCGGCAGGCCGCGCGCTTGCGCTGCGCGCAATAACGGGGCCGCATGTCCGTCAAGGGTCAGGTCAAGGCACACCATACCTACCTATGAGAGGAATGGCAAGGTCACAGCAGGACATGGCGCCAATGAGAAACATTGAGTGTTATTACTGCAGAAGGAACGGACATATGCAAGAGCGCTTGTCCGCAGAGACTGCGTGACAACGATATAAAGAAATCTACACTATACCAAATGCCAACTAATACCTATACCAAATGCCAAATACCAAATCAACAATCATTAAACTAGGAAGAACCAGGCATAGGGTCGGTGACCTGGTCCATCACAAGGCGGAGAGAGGTAAAGCACGACTTAGTCACTTCAATTTCGATCAAATAAATAAAAGATCTGGAGATATGGAAACTGACGGCGAACAACTGGAGATGCAGCCTAAAGAAAATAAAAGTAAGAAGTCAAAGCTAAAGTCGACACAAATAAATTACACGTGCTAACCGCAGCGCGTGTGAAACTCCATTGTGGCCACCCCTAGGGCCACTACACTAGCATAGTTCATAAAAACTGTTGAAATGTTTGATAAACCGGTAACGCAGGCCCCCCGAAACTCGGTACACGCGTGTACATAAGCTATGGTGTCCAATCTAAGGTTCCGACTATCGGAGCACAGACACTTTCCTGAGATCAGGAAAGTAGGAGTTGGCTCCGAGTTGGCTGAGGATTTCCTAGTTCTGCTCTTGATGTTTTGAAAATCTCCTGAGTGAATCAAACTGGTGATATGATTGCCTTTCGTATATGTCTCAGTCGATTTTTATATGCTTTGAACTAACTCTAGTACTATAGCCCGCGTTGCCGCTGGCGGCCCGCTGCGCCAGCGGCAGTTAATGTAAGCGGGCTATAGTACTAGAGCTAGCTTAGAACTAGGTATCCGAATAAACGCTATAATAGTCCCTAGAGATATAAGTACTACTTAAAATTACATGCGCGGTAGCCATCTGTGTTAAATTGACTACGTCACGAATTTTCTATGGTAAAATTTGTAAAATGTTTGTTGCCATTTTTTTACATTATAAGTAAGAACTAACGGGACTAAACGTATCGTCAAATTCTTACCTGATAAGATTGTTTCTCAACTAGTTAAAAATCCAAAAAACCTAGACGATTTGATATTGTGTTCCTGACATTAATTGCTTGCTATGGGCTATGTATGAGTCACGAGTGTATGTTCACGTCGAACAATATAGTAAAATAGGAGGTATCATGCAGCAATTTAACCATAAAAAGTGAACAGAATTACTTATATTTTGTGAAAAAGTGGAAATGTTTTTTTCATTTTTACTATTTACCGTGACGTAATCACTTTAACCACTTATCTATGTTTAACGTGACGTCACGCAGCGACGTGCGCGTCCCCATGATGATCAGATACCATCTTGGTTCTACTCCAAACTCCACGACAGATGGCGCTCTCGCTCTGGCTCAATCACTGATCTCTGTTATACTAATAATATAATAAATAGTATAATAGAGATCAGTGGGCTCAATTCACCTGAGCGTGAGCATGAGCTGAGTTGTACGAAGGGGGCGCTGCATGCAGTTTGCTTCTACTCTAGAACGCACCGGCATCCAGGAACGATACAACGCTGCAAAGAACCTGCGAACATCGCTACAGCAGGGACCTCTGGTGTCAGTGACACCGCCGCAGCACAAAGCTTATTCAACAGTGCCGAGCCAGGCAGTAGATTCCGTAAGAATTTTATAAGCCTCATACCACATATAACCATCGATGGCAGAGAGGAAAACCTGCGACTAAGGGTCACAATTTGCTATTGCCACAATTGCGGACTAATGGTCACAACCTGCGACTAATTTCACGATTATTGATAATCGTATAACTATTGTGTGCACCCAAGCTCATAATCCTCATTCTAATGCGCGACTTATCTACAAGATTGTCATAGATATATATGAGCATCGATGCTCATCTATGTATCAACGCTCTTGTGGCTATATGTTCACGCGGTTGGTGCAACCATAGATATCCTTCAATTCACGTACACGCACACACACGCACGCACACACACGCACGCACGCACACGCACGCACGCACGCACGAACGAACGCACGCACACACACACACAGACATACACACACACACACACACACATGCACGCACGCACACGCACACGCACACGCACACACACACACACACACACACACACACACACACACACACACACACACACACACACACACACACACATATATATATATATATTATATATTATATATTTCTATGAGAGCAACAATGTAGGTAGAATCTCGCCCACGTGCAACACAACGAATAATACGCATCACAGGCAGTGCATCGCGCGGGTTAGCTACATGCGAGCATATAAATACATATAGATGTGAGCGACACGTTATGCCGCCTCTGCCTCTGCTCTATTTCGCCAAATTATTCATTCAGGTATTCGGCGACGAGGAAAATGTCTATCGGCAACGCCAAATGGCGCTGGCGGCAGGTTGTGAAACCTATGCCGCCAGCGGCGGCCGAGGCGACACCAAGATGCCGCCCGGACAGCATGTGATCGTCGATGATAAGCACCGTCTGCTGTACTGCGTCGTCCCGCGTGCCGGCTCCACCAGCTGGTTGCGCTTGCTCATAGCTCTGCGCAGCGACGCCGTCGGTACCACGTCGGCCACCAATGTACACGACACGCACGGCTTCCGCACGTTCACTTCGTTCGAGCCGCGGCGACGGCAGCAGCTGCTACGCGACTACACCAAGTTGCTCGTCGCACGCGACCCGTACGAGCGCGTGCTCTCCGCCTACTTTTGGTTCGTAAAACCCGCTAGTGAATTCAACGGGCCGTTCGCCCAGCTCTATCCGCCGTTTCAACGCTCCGTCGCCAAGCGCTACGGTCGCGGTGACGTCACGCTGAGGAGCGACGGCGGCGCCAACGTGACGTTCGCCGCCTTCGTGCGCTACGTGACGGACCCGCGCACGCGCCGCGCCGACCCGCTCTCGCTGTTGTCCGACGGTTCGATGAACCCGCACTGGATGCCCATCACGGACCGCTGCCACCCGTGCACCGTGCGTTATAACGTCATCGCACATCACGAGACTCTGATGGCGGACACCGAGTATACGCTGAGGCGGATGAACGCTAGCGGTCTGTTCGAGTTCCCGACAGCTCGGGACGGGCCGTCGACCAGGTCGCAGTTGGCACACTACTACAGCCAGCTGAACGAGGAGGAGGTGGCCAGGCTGCGTCGCCTCTACGAGCAGGATTTCAAACTGTTTCAGTATAACGACATTATACCTATGAGTGGTGGACATCTGTGAGTGTATGTGCTCACTCTCTTCTACTTCGTCCGCCAACATTTTTCACGAGTTTGCACTGATGTCAAGAATGACATTGGTGACGTAAAATGAAAGCATGAGACCCGCGGATTAGTGGGGAATTCTCATTCCTTGCTCAGTCACAGATCCCTGATTTTGAAAGGAGTAGCTGTCGCACGGGACCAAATGACGGGGCGGGATGAGGGCTTGAGTGGGCCCCAAAAATGTATAAATTCATAAGGTGCGTTTGAGGAAGATAGTAACTATATGTAAAGCTTTATAATTCTGATCACAACAATTCTTTATTTACGAGGGTGCCATTAAAATTCAATAGAATTGAACAGCACATAATATTTGTCGTTTTCTTATTATTTCTTAGCTTTCTATTAATATGCTGTATTACGTTGTATTGTAGCGCATTGCGTGACACTACACAGGGGTGTAAGGGAAAAGGTAGGAGAATAGCCAAGAGAACGAATAATGAAAGGCGAAGAGCAAAAGTAGAGAGTACGATACGTCTTTATTTCCTGTAACGTTGAACGTGGGCCCACAGTGACGAGTGCTCGGGCTCCGTCCTGGCGTGCGCGCGGAAGCCTTATTTATGCTTCCTTCATCCCCCCTCGACCCTTCGCGCGCGCGCCGTTAGTTCCGTTATTTCTCCCGCAAGCTGTTACCACAACTGTTGCGCGTACGACATACGTGGGGTGTCCTGCGCACAATGCCGCTATACAAGGCACCTCGCGTCGTAACCGGCAGCGTGCGGCCGCTCATCAACACATTTCGCACCTATGGCCGCGCGAGGGTGCGGCTCGACTTTAGACATCAACACCCGTGGTTGCGGTTCGCTCGCGTTCCGCGTTCGCGTACGCTGCCGTTATCGCGTCCATTATTAATAAAATACGTTTAGTAGTTATATAGTTCGAATATGCCCTTGCGTATAATATTGGTCGCTACATTATTATAAATTAACGCAATACCAAATACGCGACCAGCGTAATTTTATTCATCGCCTCACCTGCGTGCCAACGTATATATGTGCGCGCGTACCCACCCATATATATATGTGTGTGTGTGTGTGTGTGTGTGTGTCCCCCCCTGGTACAAATCCTGTACACACCCCTGCCGAGCAAATTGCCAACATTGAAAAACGAATCCCCCCCAATATAAAGCTGGCTACGGGCCTGTGTATGTATTTATAGCAAGAGCAGATAATACACAAGGTATGTGTATTATCTGCTCTTGATTTATAGTCATGCATGCATGATGTTTCCCCCGCAGGTTGCTGCAACTGTACGCGGGCTATAGTACTAGAGCTAGTGCTGCTTGGTCATGATCACACATTTTTATATTCCTCGCGGTTACCATATAGCCGAAATCGGCCAGAAAATGCGGCCGAATGTGTTATATATATGCTTCCACGGGCTTTCTACGGTGTAATACAAGGGGTAAATCATACAAGCACCTATAGAATGTGGCCCCGTACGAAGAAGCAGAGTGCTCTGTGTGTGATTGGCCTTTGTCTTATCGCCGGGTTGTTCGCGTATTCGCTGCTGTGGCAGTGGTACACTGGAATTTACGACATTTACGGTAAGTGGCGGATTTTACTTTCGTAAATTCTCTACGAGATAGGACCTACGCCATTAGAACGCGGTGTGAGAAGTGTTCTTGAGATGATTAGATCTCTCTATTTTAACCAACTAAAATCCGCAATTTTAGAATACCATTTTTTATTACGCGAATAAGTACCTCGTTGATGGAACCTTTTGAAAGCCCCCGTGTAGGCCTACTCTCTATAGTGACGCGCAAGCTTCTGTGGTAAATGCAGTGCGTAATTCAATGTAATATTTGTAGTTCGGGAGCGTACGGGGGGGGGGGGTGTTACGGTCGGTCGTTGTCGCTGCAGTGTGTCTTGGCCTTAACGTAACGTGGGAAACGTGGGACGTGTAACGTGGCGTGTAATGGCCCTGTCACACATTGACGATTTAGCCAGCGTATGCCGGACGTATCAAAAATTTGGTGAATACGCTGGCGTACGTCGAATAAGTTATGGGTAAGCTTTGTATAAGTTAAGAGCACGCTAAAGCACGCTGAAGCACGCTGAAGCACGCTGAAGCACGCTGGTATACGTCGTAGTACGGCGAGGTCGTCGAAAAATTTTGAGCATTCTCAAAATTTCCCGACGTATGCCAGCGTATGCCCATACGTCCCGCATACGCGGGCCATAAGTTGTAGGTAAGTTATGCGATCGTTGACACACGATCACACACGTTACTTGTAAGTTACTCATAAGTCGAAATACGTCGAGATTGCACGTGAGAGCGTGCAACACGAATCCGGTTCTTCTCGCCTGTTCGCACGTCCGCGAGTTGATGATGTTTACGCATCGTTTTACACAGCGCACACACAGGCACGTACACACGCACGCACACACTCACACACGCACACACAGGATTTGCAACACACATTAAATTGCCCACAACCACGCGGCGGCGACGAAGAGCGTTGGCGACAACCAGGTGCTTCCTAGTACTTGCCGGCGCCGCTACCTCAACCACTTATACCGCTACTTATGCTTCCTAATCTCCGTAGCTTCTTCCAGGGAGATATTATCATGGGTAAAAGGACAAGCGTCGAGCTTTTAAACCTCAAAATAACACAGTCACACTTAATATATATATCATGAATATATTTATATTCGTCAAGTATGTAAAAAAAAATCTGTCAAAATAAGCACGCAGTAATGTTGCTACACCGGTTTATATATTCGAAATCTCCGCGCTGCGATAAGAAATGATGAAGCGTTGATGGCTGATTTTGAGCCGTATCAATTTGAACCACTTGCAAAAAAGGGATATACATATACCGACGTAAATGATTCTGAAAGCAGTGATACTACAGAGAACGAAGACACCAGTGGTGATCATTGATGACAAAGATGATCGCCTACTGAACACAAAATGGTTAGTGGCAATTAATACTTGCTGCACTGCAGTAGGCAGTACAATCTCTTTTCGTCCAAAATTATTTTGTAACTTGTGATTTCATTTCAGCTTGTCTTATAATAGCAAGAAATGTTATAAGCCTATCAGTTAGCTTCAATGGCATAACTAAACTATAACAGGGCCGTAGCCTGAAGGGGTGGGGGCAGCTGCCCCCTTAAATTTTGGAGCAAAATTAAAAAATAAGCTTAGCTAATAATCTTAAATAACCCTAGCGTGATTTTTTTCGTCACTTATCCGTGAAAGCCTTGTCTCAGACCCACCCCTACCACACTATGGACGTCGATCAAGAACTGCTCCCGTCCCTCATCATTACACAGTTGAGTCATGAAATTTTGCCCCCCCCCCTTCATAGAAATTTGCTCAGCCTACGGTCCTGTATAAGTAGTATAGAACTATCTAAACTTGTGCTTATGATGACTGTGTGAGTGTGTGAAACGAACCATTGTTTACATACCTGCATACGCATTCGTGTGCGTTATAAGGACGTAGGATATCTTTTCGAGAATCGGAAGCTGGGAAATATATTTGTAATTATTTTGTAATATTAGCAAAAACATTTGTCATTATTAACCCCTGATATTATCAGGCCCCGTTACGTGTTACAATCAAAACTAAAACACTTCCAAAGCGACACACGCAACGTCTTTGCTAGGTCGTCCTAAGTCCAAGCGCTGTGCAAAGGCTCGGCTATACTAAAAGGAAATCTAAGGGATTAATTTGAAGCCCCTTACACACACACACACACACACACACACACGCACGCACGCACGCACGCACGAACGCACGTACGCACGTCCAAAATGTCTAGCGGCACAATAAGTGTTGGAACACAATCACTCGCAACCCGCAGGCTGTGGCCGCTGTAAGCCTTTTGTATTATCTCTCGAGGCCTAGGATCATACCTACATTTATAGAGAAAGCTTCATTCTTTGAGATGTGTGTGAGCGTTCTGCTCTCAGCCAATCACAAGCCCCCGGCCGCACCCGACTATCCCTTGTAGCCTGGTTTGCCCTCTCTGGCTCTGGCCCGATCTATTTTCCACGGTTCGTATATTATACATATTCTATCGTTACTAATGAATATTTATTGTTCTCGTCTAGCCTTGTTTGTTACACCTTTCCTCTATCAATCTTAACCTTTGCCCCCTGTCGGTATTACGACTATCACTCCATTGCTATGCTACGTATCGTTGCTAGTCGTATAGTAATACATATTGGCCAACCAGCGTTGCTGCGGAAAATTAATGTTGGACAGCAGGTCAATATTATATTATGCAGTACCTCATGAGGAGGACGACCAATCAACCAGGTGTAGACGTAGAGGGAGTCGTTAGGCAGCAGCTAGCCTGAATAAACATCGAACAATAATGATTTATACACACTTAGAGAGTTTCGGCGCATAAATGCACTGTATTCATGCTAAATTACGAGAGATTCAAAAACCTTGACTCGAAACATTTTCCCGATTGTTTTCGAGATTTCACAGCATGTAGTCGACTCCCGTTTCAAACACAAAAATGGCCGACCGGTCACCATGGCTACACCACTTGACGCAATAGCACAATGATACGACAAAACCAATCACACATCTATTGCGTTCTCGACGTCTACGACTCAGCTACATTGCTGGCATAATGCAAATTAGTGCCCGCTAGTTCCGAATTTTACTGCTAAAATATTTAAGAGAAGGCCCTTTCCTAGTACGAGATTATAGCGACGAGATATTGAAACGGTGAACAATTTGAGGAAGGGTTCTGTTGTATGCCACCTAAAGTTAATTAGCTTGCACTAGGCTCTATTCAAACATCAACGTCGCTTCCCATAATTCATGAGCGCGGATGCCATAATGTAAAATTTGTTAGCCAGTAAACTTCTCTTTCTACCCGGGTAATAGCTTTGACAAAATATGTGTTAATCATCGCATCATACATGCTTTCAATACGTAAACTCGTGTGACAATTAAAGTTTTCACAAAATTTATTCAAACGGCGTTTACATTTCAATAATCCATCTCCTTTTTTATTTTCGTTTATATATTGAGCTATATTTTACAATCTATTATTAATTATCGGCATGGAGTAGGGTATATTGTGTGTAACTGTGTGAAATTGTTATCAAGTATATTTATTATCCAGTATATTTATCAATCATTTCAGTATATAGTTGCCTTATTAATTCTGAAGCGATTCCCTCGTAGTTATCGAATGCGTGTGACATTTTACATATATAATTATTCATGAAATCTTCGTAGCTTGTGACTTGAACCCGCATGCTGAGTTCTATGTGG